AAGCTTAGCTTAATTTGTATTTAGCTACTTGGCCTGCAAATAGACAACAGCTCAATGCAAAGGACAACCAGTAAGAGTATTATAACTTATATTTATCCCTTATAAATAAGTACATATCTTCATGTGATTGTTTTCTAATTTTTAAAAAAATGAAGCATCCTTATTTCCATAGCATTTTTCAATCTGAGGAAGTTTAAAATATTATCAAACTAGAGTATAAACTATTCCCTATTCTGAAAAGCAGACAAATTTTCTAGTGAAAATGCAGAAGCATATAATTTGAAAACACCTTTGGACTTTATAGATATACCATAATGACAATTTTATTCCTGAAGCAAATCATTTCAAAGTATTCTACTAAAAAATGTTCATATTTACTTCAGTATATTCTAAGTGGAAGTTTTAGCAGATATTCAATTATTCAATTCTGTATGGCAAAGTCAATTTATCAAAGTTAAAAAAATATAAACTCTGAAAATTGCACACAAAAACAAATTTATTTTTACCTCATCTCTATGCGATCCATAGTCCTGTAGAGTGCAGCAGAAAAAAAGACTAATTAAACAATACAGTATGCAAAAATCAATAATTTTCTGCTCTTATTAAAATTCATCTGAATTTTTCATACTGGTTTCCTAGGTCTTCAAAAGACTTGATTATGTGAATTTTCAACTGAAGCCTATCTTCATATGACACAAGACAGAATTGACAGATGGTTACCTTTTACCAATATTTACAAACATTTTTTTATTAAAGTTTATCACAAATTATTACAATAACTTTTGAACAAGCTTTAAAAGAATATTTCTCAATTTTCAAGTATACAGAATGTCAAAAAATAAAACAAAATTAGAAATTTGCTTAAAATGCTCTTAAAAACATTAACAAAAAAGTATTTTATAGCTTATTTCAGGTTTATCTATGTCAACAGCTAAACAATCCTGATGTAGAATTTCCAGAAACAAGATGTGAGGTTATATATACAATATTAATAATTACATTATAAGTAAATTGCATATTAACTGGCTGTTTAGATCTCATTTTATGATTAAACATTTAACATTTCTAATATACTAGAAATTAAAAACATACATGAATATTTTTTTATTTAAAAAATATAGAAGAAAGAGTGATGTAAGAAAATTATTATAAAGAGAAAGCAGAAGACTGAACAGGAGAAAAAGAGATTATAAGAAACGAAAAAATAGAAAAGTTAAATAAATTGATACACAGTAAATTTTAAGAGGATTAAGGAGGGAAAAAATGATACTCTTTATTACTTACAAGTGATACTAAGTTCCAAGTAGGTTAATAACACCATAAAAATATAAGCATTTAGGGCCTTAAAGCCAATCTTATTTTCAGATCATGTTGATCAAATACCAAATGACATTTCTTCAGATCTCAGAAAATTAGTAAGTTTTTTTTTTTTGACAATTACATTTTTGTCTTTATTTGGAAAATTGTTTACACACAAAAAAAAAAAAAAAAAAAAAATGAAATATTAAAATGTACAAGTATACATTAATTCATTATTAAATTTCATAAAAAAGATAGACATATGGCAGCATACAGACTAGAAAAAGAACCAGAATTTTGAATATTTTCAGCAGAAAAAAATGGAAAGGAGAGTTGCAATTTCAGGAAAAAAAAATCACAATAAAAGCAAAACAATACATTACAATCTGAATTAATAAAAAAGGAAACATATCTATTTCAGCTTAAGCATTGCTTTGGCTTGTTAAGGCAATTTCAGACAACATAATTTAATAGTATTATAATTACAAGGTAACCAATAAAAATATACCAAATATAAAAATTTCAATTTAGCAGATTTATTTTGACAGCCTAAATTTTAAGGCTTAATTTAATTCAAATTTTGTTTTTATTTTAATAAAGATGTTTTCTCTCCCAAATTAGTAGTACCAACTTTTTTCACTAATGGCACAAAATAAAGAAAATGTTTAAAATTTTTTTTTAATATGAGCAAATTTATTCTAAAATAATTCTTACCACAAATATAAGTTCAATTATATTTAATACTATTAAACCATATTTTTCTTTTTTGGTTGATTGCACCAATTAAAGACTTGTTGACAAGAGTTTCAGTTATCTACCCTTCTGATAAGTAGTCTGTTAATGAAAAGCATTTAAAAACAGTAAAAATGTAGCTATGACAAAAGAAGAATGTTTTGGATAGTAGAAGTTTTTAAAGCTCTGTACTTAAATACTATGGACATTAAAAGGCAATTTTGAAATTAAGACATTTTGAATGAAAAAATTTCTAAAAGAAATATTAAAAATGATTATCTTTGGTAAGCTGGTAATAGACCAATTTGGGTTAAAAATAAAATTAAAAAATTATAAAACGGTCTGCTTTAACCTTGAATCTAAATAAAGAAAGGAAATTTTCAAATTCATATCAATAAAAAATATTTATTATAAAGAACTGTAGTTCAAACAAAATATTAATGTTTACAATTATTCAAATCATATTTGAGTCTATTTTCAGACTGAAATGAATTATTCATTCTATATATTGAAGATCAACATGAATTTGAAAAATATGCAGTCAGCATATTTTTAGATATCAATTTGAATAATTTTCTAATATTATATTTTCTATCAACTTTGAAAAATCAAATTTTTAGGTTGATGCAAAAGTTCCCAGCACAGTATTTTGCACAATAGAGGAACATTATTAAAACCTCCACTACCTCCATGTTCTTTCCTGCACCACTCATAAATAGATCAATGTGGATACACCCCAGAGACTAAATAGCATTGTTGGAAAGCATGTTTTATTTACAGTACTGTGTAGAGGACAAAATGGAGACAAGATGTGAATATCAAAAAAGGGTGGGGGCGGATATTAACATTTTTTAACAGGTTATGTTTCAGAAACTTTAATGTCCTCAGGCATTGAACATATTTTCCTTTGAGGTTTGTACAATCAGTCAAACTGTTGTATATGACTTACAATCTTCAGGAACAATTCTGAAACTAGCAAAATAGATTTCACATCAACATCAGAATTAAAGCATTTTTTCATCTTTCTCTTCTTGCTCAACACAAAAAAAAAATGTTAAGATGATCACTGGGAATAAAACAGATGGATTTATTACAAGAATCTAAAATAAAAAAAAAAATTCATGGTTACATGCAAGATAGGCTTCAACATTTTAGCTTTAGTGAAATGTACTGAGTAAAAATGTCCTTCTCTTTGGTAAGTTTCAAAGGGAATGTTTTATGTGTTTCTGGAACAAAAAGACTGTTAGCTGACAAAAGAAAAGTGTGCAATTGGCTTGTTTGAATAACACTTTGGAACAAAAACCTCAACACGTGATTTTGCTGCATGACAAGGCTCGTTCTCAGCTTGCAACTGCAATAGAGAGATAGGAAGTTCTACATGCAGCATATTCTCTATGCCTTCAAAACTATCACTTGTTTCACAAGGAGGAGAACACCTTGGCTAAACAATAGCAGTAAATTTCTACTAATAATTAGAGGGCAGTAAATATGTATATAATGTGGGTGGTCCCAAAAATTTGATTATGAAGTTGCATATATGAAAATATATTTTCACATGAATAAAAATTTTATATTAAAAAAATACTTTAATTTTGGAAAACAAACAAAATAGAGAAGTGCACAATTTAATCAGTCCTGATAAGTAATTTATAGTTATTTTTTCTCGTTTAATAATTATTAGTTTGAAATAATTTATTCACAAATCTAAACATGGTAATTGAGATCACACTGTAGGATCTATTGATTTTTCATTCCAATCATCTATTAGCCAGGAACCTCCTATTCATCATTCCAATCATGGAACCTCCTATTCATCATTCCAATCATGGAACCTCCTATTCATAAAACATCTTTCCACTACAAGCATGCTGACTGGGATTCACTTTGAGACACTCCTTAGATTGATATTTTTAACCTTTGTATTGAGAATTGCGCCAGTGAGGTTTCTTCTTGGGTCAAAGCTGGTATAGATGCTTTTATTTCTTCTCAGAAATACCAGGTGAAACCTCAAATCTTCTCCATGGTTCTATCGCACACAGAAATCAATGTTTCCAGCTATATGAGTATATTCGTGGCTGCACATAATAATTGTAAACGTGTCCTTGAAGGAGTTACATCTTTGGTAAAAAAAACTGTCCTCTATAAACTGTATAATAAATGTCTCTGCTTTTCTGCTTGTTGGAAATCCTCATCTGTTGTTCCAATCTTTAAGAACTCAGGTGAACCATCCAGCCCATCCGATTATTAGCCTATTAACCTTCTACCTCTTTTTGGTAAACAACTAGAGGCCCTAATCAATGATGAATTAGTTAAGCATCTTGCATCGCAGAACTTAATTTCAGACAAGCTTTTGTTTCTCTAGGTCAACTGTTGCTGTATTAACAATTATTGCAGAAAAAGTCTACTAAACCATTAGATTTTCTTAATAAAAACATTTTTATAATTCAGCATAACTATCAAGGATTGACAAAATAAAATAAATTGCATTTGTTTTTGAAAGAATCTAAAAGTAAATTTATTCAATTAATCAACTGAATAAAAAATACAAAATCACTTGAAAGCAAAGACATAAAAATTCGCATTAAATGAATGCTATCAGAATAAAATAAAAAATATATATGAAAAAAACAATGCAATAGATAAGGTAAAAGATTTGAAAATCTTTTTACAAAAATCGATTTCAATGTACAGTATTCACTAACAGTAATGGAATTAAAGTTAAAACAGCACAATTTATCTGACAAAGTCAAAGAATAAAATGGCTTTCACATAAACAATAAATAATCTTAATCCTACCAGTTAAAAAAGATTAAATTTAAGTAAATATTTTGATAAAAACTGTGCAAAACAAAAGTTTTGATTATTGCTAAATAGTTGATATAAAACTGAATCAGTTATAAAATCATTAAATATAATGAATGCACTTAAATAAGAAAAAAAATGAGTTCATCAGGAAGAACAAAACTCACCATCTTTAAGAATTCCCATAAGTTCTGTGTTTCAAGAGCATCAGCAAATGCTTCATAATCCTGTGAACAAAGAAAATAAAGAAACATTTATTTTAAAATGGCATAAGTTTATGTTCCCAGTCGCGAGTATTAATCTCGCTGTTAGGAAAAGCAAAGCATTAGGTGCTTATAAACATTTGTCTGACAGAAACCCAGATTTATTAAACACTATGAATCAGGTCAATATATGATTAATCCATATGACAAAATCCATACCCAAGATATATCCATTATACCTATACCACTAATGGATATACCTACTTCATGATGACTGCATCAATCTCATTTTGTTTGCCATTGAAGGTATGAAAACAATCAGCTTCATAATGAAAATCCCTTGACTAGCTGAAAAGATCTTATAAAAACTATGATAAGCAACTAATTCAAGTAACAAGTCCTTGAAGATGCCTCAGGGCCTCCATCTAAATACAGTAAACAGTTAACATTGTTAAAATAGAGAGATTGGATAATTTCTGCAAGCAGATTTATTAGTGAAAAGTTTGATTTATAATGAATTTAATAAAAAGACAATGAATTTGTAATGGAGTCAAATTTTCAACAATAGAATTATTCTATTGTTAAAAATTTGAATCAATTTTCAATTGCATTCATATGAGACATACAATCTATTCTGTGAGATTCTAGCCAATTTTTCAAGGTGATTGCTTGTTATACACAATGAAATCTATTTTAGTGGCAAACAAGAAATTTAATATGATTAGTAACTAAGTAACGAAGGATACAGAATTTCTTTTAAATAGATATAGAGTCATTACAAATTAGAAAGTGGGTTGTGTAATTCAAATCTTATACAAAATAAACGTAGCCTTTCAACAAGTATTTATTTTACAGTTTGAAGAATTAGATTTGTATGATAATCACTTATGATTATTTTTTAGATTACAATTATGGAGTTGTCAGAGATCAGATGTATTTCTGATGAGAAACGTCTGCGTTGTTTATCATTTTTATCAAAATTAAAAAAAAAAAAAAACAATTGAGTTCTCTTGGTAAATTCAGATGGATATTAATTTATGTGATTGCCTTTATATGCAGAAAGGATAAAACAGATAAGTATCACTGAGATTTTATTAAAAAAATATATAATCTTCAGTGTTTCAAATTAAATAAAATTTACAGTTTGAGATTTCCTCATTTATGATGAATACATAATCTTCCATATTTCATTCTACTGAATATACAAGACATGTGCCTGGACAAATTATTAGAGCGACAAAAGACTACCTATATATTTATATTAACACTTAATTTCCATTAGCCTATCTTGACATGATTATATGAAGATGATTAGCAATATAACAGCAAGCAAGATTAAGCTCAAGCAATATGTTAAATATCCTACAAAAGAAGTTTAAACTAAGAGGACATACAGAATTTTCATTATTTTAGAAAAAGAAAAAAAAATTATTTGCAATAAAGACAAGAACGTAAAAAAAAAAAAAAAAATAATATCACTCATTAACAAATTACTTTTCTTCAGGAAGAACTTTGCTATTCTTATAAAATAATTGAGAAAAAATAAAATAAAAAAATATTAAATTGTGAAGACAATGACAAAATGAATTTTGCCCTATTCAAATAAAAGGTCATTATGTCAAAATATTAAATATCTGCAAAAGACTGTAAAGAAACTAATTTAAGGAAAGAATATAAAAGAAAAATAACTAAGTAACAGTTTTATACATGGCTAACCATAGATGTATACACAAACACATACCTTCATGCGTTTATAAAATGATTTAATTCAGACATTTGTTCAATTTATATGGTAGATACAAGAAGCTATAAACAATGATCTATAGAAGCAATCAGAAAATACTTTGTTCTGTTAGGCCATAATGACAATTTTCAGGAATCTGTTACTCTGAGACTTTACATGCACTCATATAGCATTACCTTTAATAGATGCCAATTTATATGGTTTTGAAAATAGGAATAGAAGCTCTGAATCATAATGTTACATTTTTTTTTGACAGAAGCACACCATTTACCATAGGAAAGTTAGCAAGACAAGAAAATCACACAAGAACAGCAATTTTGAAAAGATAATATGAAAAATGAGAAAAGTAACTCGATTTGATGTGGCTGTATCCCCTTTACCTTAAAAAAAATTTAAAAAAACTAAGACTCTACCTTTCAAAGTCGCTGCACAGCATTCAAGCACTTTAAATTTGTTCAGACAAAATCTGGTTAACCCTTCATTAACCAAAGACATTTTACTCTTTCCAGAGTAATTTACCTCTATTTGCTGACCAGTATTCTATAGGTCAAATAACTAAAAAAATTAAAATTGTTAATATAAAGTTAGCTCAACTTTATATTAATGATTTTAATTATTAGTTTATAATACAAGATTATATGCATATGTATCTTTGTTTATGTTTTTCAGGATAAATAAATAATTCACTTTAAACATTAATACATTACATATATATCCCCTTTTAGCTTCAAGCATACCATATGATTAAAAAACAATGACAAGCATAATCTAAATTATACATTGTACTTTTTATAATAGCATGTAAACTTATAAAAACTTGTAATGTTATTTTTTTGAAAACATAAAATGGAAAAGTAGGGCTCATGCTTGCACAAATAAATATCAAAATATAGTTACATTAAAGTAATAGTCTTTCATATAGCTAGGTAATTTTAAATTGGCTCTAGTTAAACTGGTCACTGGAATGGTTGAATTATCAGCACAACACTCTTGGCTTACTTCATTTCTTATTTTCTTCCTAACTTCCTGAACATTGTTCTGGATATCCTGCATTGTATAAGTTACTTTGATGATATTTGTAATAACCCTGTCTTGGTAGATAATCTTTTCAAATTTATCTTCCACATTTAAGCAAAAACGGTTTTCTTTTCATCAGTAGTCTGGCTGGCAAAATTCCTTTAACACTTTGCAGAATTGAATTTTGAAGATCCACACTTTTTACTCATCTTCTTCACCTTCTTAAAGATTTGCACATATATTTCTGCTAATTTATTAGAAGAAATTAAGAGCTGTTATAACATTTTATTTTATTTCTTAAATTAAAAACTGAAAATTCCTCACTAACAAAAGCATTATTTTTTTTTAAATAATTATATATAGATTTCACAGTGGGGTAAAATGTCTTTGTAGACTATTATTGGTCACTGTTGTAGTACCTGTATATTATATATTATTTATATATATATATATATATATGAATGTCATCCATTTACACTAAACATCTACAATTACAAAAGATATGCCAGAAATTACCCAATATAGTCTATGTACAATCAATCCTCCTTGGGAATGTCCTAAGGATAATCATTATAGAAATATAACTAGCAAATACTCATATCAATTTTTCATTTTCAACTGTCAATTGTCAAGATGAGGTCACCAAAATAGTTCCTACTTAAAGGCTTCATTCTCAGCATTCCTGGGTGTCCATCATTATTTTCTTTCTCAAAGATATGTAATAATCCCATTTCCACATAGAATACAGTATTCTTACACCACAAGTTCATGCTTCCTTTGAACTCAAATCCTCAACATTTATGTAACCATCCATGTTTCTGATGTAAAAAATAAAAAAGCACTTGTTGAGAACTGCATACTATATAAACCACTTCAATTACTGGATGGTTCAGAGGGATTTAATTTCCAAGAACATGATGGTTTCCTTCGGAAAAGGAATTTCCTTGACAGTGTTAAGCAGTATAGGCATCCCATATTCCCATTTTTGTTACCTTCAATAAGCTGACAAGATGACAGCCCATTATTTGAATCTTTACAGGGTTGATTTCAGGAATCAGTTTATTTTCCTTGAAATAGCCCCAAAGAGCTTTATGTTGTATACACAATTTGAATCTATGAGTATAAAAATATTAGCAAAATTTTTGAACACCAAAGACTAAAGACATTTTGTCAATTTGAAATTTTTTTATACAAATTCTAGGTACAAATGCAATGGGTCTTCCAAATCCATTTTCTAGTGTTTGCTTGTCCATAAGATGGTGTCTTGCAAACTATAGAGAATTAAAAGAATAGTGGATCAGAATGCACTAATAATTTTTCAGAATTCAGGGCATCTTATTCAAGGCTTTGTGTGAAGACTACTCCATTTATCTTCAGTAGTTGATGCAATGATGCTAAAATATTGGAGATGTCTGGAATATTTGTTATTCTCTGATCTTTGTTGGATGCAGAGAAATTGTAATAGCCCTTTCATCAGTTTGCTGAAAGCAGTCTATCATATGACCTAAACAAATTTTATCTTATGGTCATTTTTTTTAACCATTCATTTCTTATTAAAGGCTTAGGTTTTCTCACAGTTTCAGTTAAAGTCCTTGAAGCATACACAACTTTTAATTTACTGGTTTATTCTTGATATAATGCCACACCTAGTCTGAAACTGCTTGCACCAGCACTTATCACTATTTTTTCATTGGGTCATAGAATATTAAAACAGATGCTTCAGTCAAAAGCATTTTTACTTTTTCAAATGCATTCTGCTATAGGTGGTTCCAAACCCAAGCTGTGTTTTTTTAATAATCCCAATATTAGTTAGAATAAAGTGGCAAGATATGGTATGAATCTCCTCAAATATTATATCATACCAAATATACATTCAGTCGTTGAAATAGGAGCCACTAATTTGTTAGAAGCTTTTATCATTTCTCAATTGTATTCCTTTACTTGAAATATGTTCAAAATATTTAAATTTTTCTGTCTTCACATCTTTCCACATTTACTCTTATTCCAGTGTGTTCCAGTCTTAAATGCTCTTTGAGTTTCATATTATGCTCATGCATGTTCTTTATAATCAATAACTTCTATTCCTTCCATGTGTTCAAATAATTCAGACATTCTTTTGCAGAAGATTTCTGGCATAATCAAGATGCTGAAAAAGATTTAAAAAAAAATAATATCACCAAAAAAGCATTATGAAATAAGCAAGCATTTTCCTTCATAGCAATTGATGAAATCTGCTGACTTCATCTAACTTGGAAAAGATGAG